CTTATTTATGAATACCTTTAAACTCAATCTAAAATAAATACTAACCTTATCGACCTCCCACCATGCAGGATAAAGTTTAGCTTGTCCATTGCCCTACGCAAATGATTCATCTCGTTGATTCTTCAAGTGAACGGCGTTAAAAGACGTCGGCATAATTGTATATCGTGTATTTCTTTTATTTTCCTTAAGTTTCCTAATTATTAGAAGACATGACACCCACGCATCGATATGATGTTTTACAAAAAAAGACATATATTAGTAACTTACATAAATTTAAAAAAAAAATAATCAAATTAAAATATAAGAAAAATATAAGACTTACCCCTCCATCGAAATAGCCATTGTCTTCGACCCCTAATAATACGCCCTACCAAGACCGATCAAGCAACAAATAGATATCATCGTTGAGCTTGCATATGTCAGTAAAACACCCCTGGCTCCGCTCATGTAGATAAAAATCAACTGCGGTCTTAGCCCAAAGGGTGTTATCCAGAATTGTGTCTGGTAGTTGTTTCCTCTCCACTTCAGATACCGGTATGGTACTTGCCGGTAACTCATACGAGAGCCAACTTGAATCCATCATGTCCGGTACGTCAGAGGGTTTCTCAAGAATCCTACATATGACGCCATGTGAATCGGGCTCTTGAATAGTGGGTGGGACCTCTTCAACGATGACAGTTGCCTCTTGAACGATGGGAGGGGACTCTCGAGGAATGATAGGGGCCTCTTCAACGATAGGAGTGGACTCTTGAGGGATGACAGGCGAGTCGGGCTTCTTCTTGCGGTGTCTTCGCACTATTGGGGTGTACGGAGACTTAATAGCATGTGCACGCCGTCTGATGCGTGAACTCTGTCGTGCAAGAAAAACTCGACGTAAAGCATCCACCTTATCGGTCCGCTAAATAATTAAATAGAAATATCAGTAAATAAACAGACATTATATTTAAACAGTAAAAACAAAGACAAATATATTTCAAACTTTCAACCAAAAGACAAAACAAAGACAAATACTAACTTCACAGTGTTAAAGAATACACAATTTAGCAGAATTGGCAGCAACCGAATAAATTTACTTCAACCAAAAGACAAAACAAAAAGACAAATACTAACTTCACAGTGTTAATAAACAATTTAGCAGTATTGGCAGCAACCGAATAAATTTACTAAGCAATCTAAGTGAAATGGTTAATTTAAGTGAAATTACGAGTAAATTTATCATCAAGTTAAATATGGAAAATCTTAAACTTACCTCGTTGCGTAGAGTATGAACCTCATTCTGCAACGATACTACCATCTCATGTAGAGCGGCAACCTCACCACGTAAAGTAGACACCTCCACACGCCATGCACCATCGTTATCACGTAGAGTAGCGATCTCCTCACGCAAGGCATTGACCTCATCACGTAACTCCCTTGACTCATCCCGTGGAGGTGGAGAACAGGGAGATAGAAGTCGTGGCATCTTTGCCGGTCGCCTATCATGAGGTGATGGTGGAGAAGAGGCTCGATGATGTGACGGGATAGGTGATGGCTCTCGTTGTAGAGGTGTATAGTCGGGTCGATCAGGTGATGGCTCTGGGTGAGGTGATGGCTCTCGAAGTGGAGGAAGTGGAGGCTGCTCATCATTCATGCCATCAAGAAAACACTGACTAGCTTGCCACCAATCAGTGGCAAGCTCAGCCTCCGTGGGTGTCAGTCTCATTAATGGAATGTTGGCCTCCTAAAAATATAAAAACTCAAACAAAGTTAAACGTCTACTATTAATAACTTGTTTATATATGATAGTATTTGTGTTAACTTACATTATTTATTGTCGCATATGGTATTAAGTCTTCCCAATCCAACAGACGTTTCCTCTTCTAGGAAATAGCCCTAGGAATATCATTTGAGGTTTTTAATGCATATGCATGCATGCTGGGGAAATCATCGAATATCCAAATCTACAAACAATATAATAACAAACATTAGTAATTGTTAAATAATTAATTATAATTTTGAAAACATTATATAGAAATTCTTACCTTAAAGGCCCAAACAAAGCCTGACAAAGTGTATTTCGACCCATCGCCCCGCAAACTTTTGCGGTCATCAAAGGCAGACGACAACTTAGTCCAGGTAGCTTTCCATATATATGAACCCCACGGAAACAGATTCCATGCATTTAGGTCCTCTACCAATAATATTAGCTCATGAGGAATAGGTTGTCTGGCCTCTCTGCCTAAAAAGCCGGCATACAAAAGTAGTAGAAGGCATACTCGGATAACATCGACGTTATTCATCTGAGTAAAACCATCTTTCTTGTTAAACAATTTCTTCAGGTCGTCGACGTGTAAGTTCGGCTTCTCTATTGACTCATCAGGAAAAACCCTGGATAACTATGATGGGCAGGTGATATGACGAGTGTACCGGCCTACATCTTCATGTCCGAATTGTAGACCAGTGATTAAGCAGAACTCTTTCCGCCCAAAACAAGTATACGCCGGTGGAAAATGAAACCATATTTCTTCCTCACCACGTTGTATACTGTCGGGTAGATCGCTAGTCATGGTCTGAAGCCACAAATGGGTCAAATTAGCATCTCCACCCGGATGTTGTACTCTCAGCCATGGCCCGAAGCAGGTTTCCTCAAACAATTTTCTTTGTGCATATGAAATCTTCGAAGCAATTGTAGTGGCTAGGCTAACTTTATTCCTTAATGACAATGAAGCCGAAAAAAATTTCTACAAAAACAATAAACATACCAAGTTAGATATACCAAAAACTACACTGTAAAGATATACCAAAAACAATAAACATAAATAGTAGTTTATTCTTGAAACTAAAATTTGCAACACTGTTTTGTCTTTTGGTTGAAATGAAAATCGCAACGAGATAATGAAAATCGCAACGCGGAAATGACTATCGCAACGAGAGAATCGCAACGCGAAATGACTATCGCAACGCGAAATGAAAATCGCAACGAGAGAATCGCAACGCGAAATGAAAATCGCAATGCGATTTTGGTTTCGCGTTGCGATTATCTCGTTGCGATTTTCATTTCGCGTTGCGATTCTCTCGTTGCGATAGTTATTTCCGCGTTGCGATTTTCATTCTCGAAACTATTCTTCTTCTGCATTACTTCAACCAAAAGACAAAACAAAGACAAATACTAACTTCACAGGGTTAAATACTAAACAGTTTAGCAGTATTGGCAGCAATCGAATGAATTTAATAAGAAATCTAAGTGAAATGGTTATTCTATTATTGAAATTACCAGTAAACTTATCATCAATTTCAATATGAAAAACCTAAAATAATGCAAAAATTTCAAAATAAAAATAATTAAAAAAACTAACCATCAGAGGTTGATTTTCCATTTCTGAATGATTATGAGGGATTTCTGACCGTGAGTGGTTGTGAGGGATTTCGCCGGCGATGGGGGCGGAAATCTTTGGAGATGGGGACGGATTTCGCCGTAGAGAGTGAGAAATGGAGATGGGACTGAGTGTTGTGATTTTAGGTTTGAGGTTATGAGTTGCGATTACTGTGGACGGTTCAGTTTCTGATATATTAAGAAAAAATTCGTGTTTGGAATTTGAAAAAAAAAAGAAGCGTTAATACGAATGGCGCTATGTAAATCGCATTGCGATAGTAAGATTCGCATTGCGATTTACGTATTCGCATTGCGATTTTCCTAATTCGCATTGTGATTTACTTAATCGCGTTGCGATTTACGTATTCGCATTGCGAATTATGAAAATCGCAACGCGAATATATAAATCGCAATGCGAATTAGGAAAATTGCATTGCGATAGTCAGTATCGCATTGCGATTTTCCAAATTCGTATTGCGATTTACTTATTCGCATTGCGAATTGGGAAAATCGCATTGCGATAGTCATAATCGCGTTGCGAATCTAGAAACTGATTTGCGATAATGGAGATCGCGTTGCGAATTAGCGATCGCATTGCGATTTTGTTGGTCATTTTGGCAAATCCGGAAAAAGTTGGTTAAAATCGTATATTATATGGGATTTTTGGTCACTGAAGTTATTTTCTCTTTTTTATATAACTATTGATGCAAGAAATTAACATCTTAAAATCACGCAAGACAATACAAGAGAAAAAAATTCAAAACTTAACAAAAAAAATTCGAACAATAGATAAATACGAACATTTCTGATTATATCGATAAATGAACCACAAACTATAATCAAACTACTAAAAGATCACTGACATATCACAAATTAGAGTTGAGCGACGTGATGTGAGAAAACTATCTACGAATACAAATCATGTATCCAAATCCAATTCGAAGATCCAAAGCATGAAATATCAACTTGATAACAAATAAGTGTCATTTTGATCAGTTGAGGTGATGTCAAATCCAACCCTAAAAAGTTATAAACGAGAATAACGATCAAAAGGTCGTTAACGAAGATCGAAAATATATTAAAAGACAAAAGAAAATATATAATAAAATTAAAAAGAATATGTCATAAAAACAAAATTTAGTAAAAATAATCTTGCACCCTTTAATCTTTTTCTTCATCTTTTATTGCAACCAATAACATCAATCTTAGCATTAATTATCATCGTCGATATTATTTTATATATATATATATATATTAATTAAACTTATGATACAATGATAAATTATATCAATTAAAACTTTGAATTTTTTCCTTTTTCATTCTTTGACTTATTACTCCTTGTTAGGAACACAGTTGAAAGTAGAAGTATACTTGTATTTATGCTTGTAAAAGCTGAATTGAAATACAATGTTTCTGTTGTTTATGTACAACTTCTAAGGACTAGCTTATGCCTAACAGTTTGCTCAACTGACATTAATAACTTAAACTGCCAGACTAACAACTTCAAGAATTTGCTAACTACTTAACTAACACACCATGCAGGCTAAGTACACGCACACAACAGTATGAGCAACACAAGCATTGATGTTGACTTATCATGCTAACATTCCCTCAACTTCTTCTTCTTCTTCTCTTCTGAGCTTGAACATTATTGAACTCCAATCTTCCCTTGAAATAATTCAAACGCGCCTTTAGATAGTGTTTTAGTAAAGCCATCAACCACTTGATGAGCTGCAGGGACATAGTTTGCACACAGCTGTTGAGTAGCCACCTTCTCACAGACAATATGCACATCAAGGTCAACATGCTTTGATTGTGCATCGTAAACCGGATTGGTACTCATAGCTACAGCTCATGTATTATCACACCAAATCACAGGTTTCCCACACTGTTTCAAGCCAAGCTCAGTTAGCAAAGTACTTACCCATGTAACTTCAGCAATAACATCAACTAGGCTTTTATACTCAGCCTCCATCGTTAAATGAGAGACATAATTTTGCTTCTTTGAACTCCAAGCAACTAAGTGATTGTCAAGGAACACTCCATACATTGAAATCGATCTACGATCAGTGATATTTGCACCCCAATCAGCATCAGCGAATGCTAAAACTGAAAATTTCGATTTAGAAGGCAAAAACATCAACCTATAGTCCACAGTTCCTGCAAGATACCTCAAAATGTGTTTTACTGTTACTAGATGAATTTCACGAGGCTCATGCATAAATTGAGCCACCTTTCCAACGTTGAATGCAAACTCGGGTCTGGTATGACAAATATACAGTAATGACGCAACAATGGATCGATACATAGTAGTATCAGCTAGTAGATCTTCATCCTCAAACAACTTAGGTGCAAGAATAATTGGTGTGGCACACGATGAAGCATTCCTCATGCCATCATTTTCCAACAGTTCCAAGATAAACTTCTTTTGACTAAGCATTAGATTAGCATTACTCCGTTTTACCTCAATTCCCAAAAAATAACTAAGGGGTCCCAAGTCTTTGAGAGAGAACGTGTTTTGCAGCATGCCTATGATATTAGCAATCATAGAGGTTGATGATCATGTAATAACTATGTCATCCACGTAGACTAGGAGGTAGACACGTTCAACCCCCGTGTTTGTAAAAAATAGAGAAGTATCAGCTCGAGACACTTGAAATCCAATCTATAGCAATACATCTTTTAGTTTGGCATGCTAGTTACGAGGGGCTTGCTTCAGGCCATAGTGTTTAACATCCTCAATACCAGATTAGTGACCAAATTGTAAAGTTTTAGAAATTGGTGATTAAAGTAGGATAATTGAATAGTTTAATGATTTATTGGAAATATGATGAAGGTTATTTGGTAATTATTAGATGAATTAAAGGGTAAAATGGTAAATTGACAAGTAATATTTTTATATTCCTTTTATAAGAAAATGAACCACGTGGGAAAGGAGAGAATTATCCAGAGTTTTCTTTCTTCTTCTTCCACCTCCCGTATCTCCAAGCTCAAAGGTGAGTTTCTTTGTTTATGGATTAATTGTTGATTTTAAGGTTGGGTTTTGATTATTAGATGATAACTAAGCTTAAGGAAAGCTTAAGTTATCTTAAAATCAAAGTATGATGGAGTTAGGAGGGATTAAAGATTTGAGGTTCTTAGGTGAAATCTTGAAATAGAGTTCATAACTAGAGTTGGAAATTAAATTTGACTTGTCAAGGGTCTAATTAAGAAGCTAGAAGCCATAGAATTGGAATTAAAACATATTACAAATTTGGTTGAATTCTTGAGTTACATATGAGGAATAGAATTTTGAAGTTAAAGACGGTTTATATGGATATAAATTGGTTTAAGCATGTGTATGTGAGTTGAGAACATGAAAAGGGATGAATGATGAAGCATTTGAGTTGATTTGAGTAGATTTTCGGGCTTAAAAATAAATTTTGGGCTATGTGCATCGTTGCACATTCAATGTGCACCGATGCATCAAGGGTAAATTTCCAGAAACTGTTCAATGTGTATCGATGCACAGGAAGTGCATCGATACACCCATTAAAAATGGAAACATCGAATGCAATTAGTGCATCGATACATAAGGAGTGCATCGATGCACCCCCTTAAAATAAAAACATCAAAGGTGATTTGTGTATTGATGCATGGGTAGTGCATCGATGCACTTCAAGGGAAATAGAATTATACTTTTCTTTTGGTCTAAGAAATGATGGATTAGTGTATATCAATTGGATACTAATATGTATCAATGTATGATTATATAGATATCGAGCACGAACAAGTCCCAGAACGATTATCAAGTTATGATTCGATCGCAAGAGAGGAAATTATAAAAATGGATTGGAACTTAGTGAGCCAAGGTGAGTGTGCATTATTTTATATATGATGTTTAATGGGAAATAAGACTTGCGACAAGTCTATTTTCTATAGTATTGTGCATGAAGCATGAACATGAACATGTGTTTGTTATGAGTGTCTGAGTTATATGTTATGGTATGTGTTAACATGTTATTGTATATGTATTTCATGGTTGATGTGAATATATGATATGTTATGATGATATAAACTATATGATATGATAAGAAATTATATGAATATAAAAGAGAAGTTATGTGATAAGATCTTTGAGATATATAGAAATGAAATATAAGATTACGCGAATACATGATATGGGATTAATTAGGTAATAATATGGGAATATGGTAAAAAGCCAGTTTAGAAGAAATGATAGGAATGAAGTAATCAAGTGTAAATGTTATATAAACAATAAGAATGTGAGTTGGGTAAGTGAATAGTGGTATGAACATTTATGTGAAATAGTAAAATAGAATTATATCATTGAATGAGAATTGAAACAAGATAGATAATATTGACCTATATGATGATATGAGAATAGTAGATCAAATAGGAGACTTGAACATAAGTGATAATAGGAACATATAAGATGAGTTAGATGGGAAAGATACATATGCTTAAATAAAATTATGATATATGGGTTGTATGATGGAAATCTACGTAGTCATATTAGAAAGTTATAGGTACTATATGAATTGAATTAGGTAAATATATTAGATTAGTATATAAATGAAATAATAGAAGTGATATATGTTTATGAGTATGACAGATGTGATGTGATCTAGGTGAATATCATAGAATGAGGTATAAGCTATATGATATGATATAAGTTATTTTATACATATATGATATAAGCTATTAATCAGGACATATGAGATTATGAGAATGAGAATATAAATGATGTGGATACAAGTATAGGAAAATGATATATATATATATATATATATATATATATATATATAGGAAGATGAATTATATGAATACACATTTAGATGATGAAATGAAGGATTATGAACATGTGATATATATATATATATATATATATATATATATATATATATATATATATATATATATATATATATATATATATATATATGATAAGACATAAAAATAAGATATAAGCAATGTGACATGAAATGTGAAATAGTATGAAAAGTGAATATGAGCTACGTGATATGTGAAAGTGATTTACGTATTTATACGTATATGTGATTCAACTTATGTGACATAATCTACGTGCTATGTGAAAGTGAACTACGTGTTTATGTGAAAATGTGAAATGACATAAATGATGATGCCCATTTTATGTGTCATGAGAGCTAAGGTATAGTTGGCATGCTAAGAGTCGAGGGTCTACACGGTCATTCGGGACATATATGTATTCTTTGGAACATGTGTGAGGTCTTTTGAGACACATACTTGATCCTTGGCATAGGTATATGATTCTTAAGGAATTTTCTACGTGGTCCTTAGGGACAACCTTATATGGCACTTCGGTGCATTTCTACTCGGCACTACGGTGCAACTCTACGTGGCACTTTGGTGTATTTATATGAGCTGTGGTGATAACATTAGTTCACAACCTCTATAGATTCACATATCTATAGTTCTCACATGTGTACATGGGCTAATAAAGAAATAACAACAAATATATTACATGTGACTTGTATTCTTTTATGCTATGAATGGTATTATATGATTTATATGATAATATGTGGATTGTATGATTAAATGAGTCAAATGTTGGTTAAAATGCTAGGTATAAGAGGATATGTATTAAGTGATATAAACGATAATAATATTGATAATGAAATAAGGCTAATGATGGAAATGATGAGTGATGAATATATGTGTGTATATGTTATTATATGAAATGATATATTGCATATGTGTTATAGGGATTTGTTACATGAATGAAGGTATGAGTGATAGTAGTAATTGTTCATGCATGATTACAAGCTATAGTTTATATTTTATGTTTATTGCCTTACTAAGTCCTAGACTTAGCGTGTGATTGTTTCACACGTAGGTTATCGAAGTGAGATGAGTTAAGAGCAATGTGGAGCAAGACAGGTCAGTTCTCCTTACCAAAGGTCATATCAGAAGGAAGGTGAATAATATGTATTTTAATATATAAAGTTCTAGTTGGCATGTATTCAAAATAATATATTGTATAAGCTCTGAATAGTTCGGTAAAGGTTTTGAATAAGTTATATGTAGTAATAAATTTTAAATTACTCACTATTTTATACAAGTAAAGGTTTTGAAAAGTCAATGTGACACTTCGGACTCGGATCCGGGTCGGATACGGGTTGGGGGTGCTTCATAGTGCTTTCTCTAATTGGCATACAAGGGGCGCACCATCAGTTGCAGTCTGCTCGAATCCTGGTGGTTGCTTCATAAACACAACTTCTTTTAAGTCTCTATTAAGGAAGAAATTGTTGATATCAACATGCCTCAACTCCAGTTATTTCCCACTGCAATCGATAATAAAACACTAAGGGTTGTGAATTTTACAACAGGGATGAATGTGTCAAGGTAATCTTACCCAGGCATTTGAGAGAACCCTTTCGCAACCAGTCGTGATTTTTATCTGTGTACTGAGCCATCTGGATTGTGTTTCACTTTGAACATCCACTTGTAACCTACTACAGCACATCCTGGAGAGAGCTTAACAAGTTTCCAAGTTCTATTTCTTTGAAGTGCCTCAAACTCATCCTGGACTGCAGCAGCCCATTTTGGAGATTATAAGGCTTCAGTAATAGTTGAGGGAACATTCTCGTCAAAGTAGGTTGAATAGGCTTTAGGCTTAAAAATGCCGCACTTGCCTCTTGTAAGCATAGGGTGAGTGTTCATAGGTGGAACATCAACACTATTGGAGACTTCAGTATCAATACTGGTTGAAGCAACCTCATTGTTAGGTGCATCACTATTAGATACAGCTAAACTGGAAGGTACGTCCACAACTTTTTCTCCTTTACATTCAAAACTAGGTTTGATAGTTGGTTCAGTAGATGCATCTACACTCGAAAATTCACCAGCATCTTCTTCCATGCCCGCATCTTCCTTATTATTAGGTACTGAAGATCCTGACCAGGTACACGTTGCATGTTAGTCACAATTTCTAGAGATTGTGACTGTCGATTCTTAATCGCATGTGGTTGAACTGAAGTTGCTTGACCTGCAAAAGGAAATAAGGTTTCATTAAAAACTACATGTCGAGAGATGTAGACCCTCCCATCAGCTGCAAGGCACTGAAATCCTTTATGTTGGGGGCTGACACCAAGGTATATTTATGGTTGTAAGCGAAATGCAAGCTTATAAGCTTGAAAAGACCGCAGGTGAGGAAAACACTGACAACCAAAAACTTTCAACTCGTTGTAGTTTGGTTTCTTTCCCAGTAGCTTATCACTAGGAGAGACCCCCTGCAGAACCTTAGTAGGTAGTTTATTAATCAACTGAATAATAGTAATTATAGCATATGACCAGTACTCCATTGGTAAGGAAGCTTGTGCCAGTAACACAAGTGTCATCTCAACAAGATGTTTGTGTTTCCTTTCAACAATTTTATTCTGCTTGGACGTGTGAGGGCATGATAACCTGTATATGTGCCAGCTTTGATTTGTAAGGGTGAAAGACTGCGAAACTCACTACTCAGTCACTCTTAACAGCTTTAATGGAAGCATTAAATTGGGTTAA